CTCGGAGGCGGGTCTATCGTTAGTTCCATTTTACAGGTGAGAGGAGGCTAATCAAGTCAACAAATATTTACTGAGCTCCTTAAGGTTATGCAGTAAATACAGACGCCCAGTTAAATTTGAATTTCAGATAAACTGCTGTGCAATATATAGATATCCCCTAAATACTCCACGGGACATATTTATACTAAAAAAGCAAAAAAGTATTTGTTGTTTATCTGAAAATTTTAGTTGGGCATTTTGTATTTTTACTTGCTGTATCTGGCAACCCTATGCCTACCAGGTACCAGGCACCATTCTGGACTCTAGAAACACAGAAGTAGTCTTTATGGAGCATCTATTTTTGTGACATAAAGCAAAGGTAGGAAAGCTTCAAAAACCCCAGGGTGGGTCCATAAAGTGCCTCACCCCACCAAACCAGCCCCCGTTTCCTTAATCTACAAAGCAGATAGAATGTTATTAATTATAAAGAACATTTCAAATCAACAGTCTGTACTAACGAAGACTCTAATTCTTCACTTTTAATCACTATTTATTTAAAATTAATACTATTTGGAGTGCCTGGGTGGCTCAGTCAGTTAAGTGTCTGACTCGATTTCAGTTCAGGTCATGATCTTAGAGTTTCGTGAGTTCCAGCCCCACATCAGGCAGTACAGAGCCTGCTTGAGATTCTCTCTCTCTCTCCCTTGCTCTCTGCCCCTCCCTCATTCACTCTGTCTCTGTCTCTCTCAAAGTGTATAAATAAACTTAAAAAAAAAACTTTAAATAAATAAATGAAATACTAATCACATAATTAGCCTTAAGCACTGCAAACTATCCTGTTATTTTGGAGTTTTTGAGTTTAGATGGATCCTATTATGCATGCAAATTAAATTCGTTGAGTACTTAGTCTCTACTGTTCCTATTCCCATTCCAAATCCAGGAGATGGCATTTCAAGGAGATACAGGCCTCTCTTGTAGAGACACAGGTTCTAAAGGTGCGATGATGAGAGAATTGGAAGGCAGGGGGCTGGCACTCTCCAGGGGCCGAAGCATTGGTCCCCTGGCTCAAGCCTCTTTTATTTTTGCAAATTGTCTTATAACAGCAAGCACATACAACGTAGTATTTGACATCCTGACAGGTCCTACACCTGCAGTGTATTCCATACCGGGTCATGAGTACATCTGGTGCTAGACAAAACATTCTTATCCCAGGCCTGGCGCCTGTATGGTGTCCTTCTGGAGAGAACGAGCAGTCCCTGCCACCTTCTGTCCTGGTAATGAAACTGCTTTCAGTTTCTTGGTGCTCTCTCTCTTTCCTTCAAGACATTCTTAGGGTGCCTCTGGCTTCTTGTTCTCAAACACTCTCATCCTATCTTGAGCCCTACATTAATTCCTATTAAAACTATAAAACTATTTAAAACTTCTCTAGTTCCACTGAAGGGAGTTATACTAATTGTATTCCAGAGGAATTGGGAAAGGATTCCTTGACTTGGTGGTATTTGAGTAGATGTTCACTAAAAGATAGAAAAGACCAGGCAAGCATGCTCACAATTGCGCATTAAAGGAGTAAAACCTGGGGTGCCTGGGTGGCTCAGTCGGTTGGGCGTCCGACTTCGGCTCAGGTCATGACCTCGTAGTCCGTGAGTTCAAGCCCCGCATCAGGCTCTGGGCTGACAGCTCAGAGCCTGGAACCTGTTTCGGATTGTGTGTCTCCCTCTCTCTCTGACCCTCTTCTGCTCATGCTCTGTCTCTCTCTGTCTCAAAAACAAATAAATTAAAAAGAAAATTTTTTTTTAATTAAATAAAGGAGTAAAACCTAATGAGTGTATGGTGATCTATGGGGCCCTACATGATCCCTCCTCACCTCATCTCCAATTACTCTTCCCCTCGGTACTCTGCTTCACCCACTCTGGCTTGGGGCTTTAGGACTGGATTTTCCCTTTGCCTGGAAAGCTCTTTCCCCAGGTAGTCAGATGGCTGACCCCTTCATCTCTCATCAAATGTTTGCTCAACTATCACAGTGAAGCCTTTCCTGATCACCCTAATATGCAACCCATCTCTTACTCCCCCTCCTACCAGCCTCCTTCCTGCTTTAGTTTTTTCTTCATATCTCTCCATACTTATCACTATCTGACATATATGAATATATGCATGTGTGTATGTACCATGTTTCCTACTACAAGAATTGTGAAGATAGGAGCCATATCCCAGCTCCTAAAGCAGTGCTCGGCCCACAGAAGGTCTCTTTAAGTAAACTGCTGAATGAATAGATTTCATCAACATTTATTGAACTGTTGAACACATTGCTGTAGATCCTACAGTATAGATTTTTTTGAAAAGACATACAATAAATTCTGAAATGTTTTCATAAAAGTGTCCCTCAAAAGTTACAAATTGAATTGAAATGGTCATTTGAGGAAAAAGACCCCAAAACACAGTCCCTGACTTCCAACCTACATTAAAAAGACACACAATTAATTACAGTGCAAAGGAGGAATAATAACTGCTTATGGAGCAACAGAACTAAAATGTCCTGAAGTGTAAGGGTGCCCGGATGGCTCTGTTAGTTAAGCAGCCAACTTTGGGTCAGGTCACGATTTCTCGCCTAGTGGGTTCAAGCCCTGTGTCGGGCTCTGTGCTGACAGCTCAGAGCCTGGAGCCTGCTTTGGATGCTGTGTCTCCCTCCCACTCTGCTGCTCCCCTACTTGCACTCTGTCGCTCTCTCTTTCTCTCAAAAAATGAATAAACATTAAAAAAATTAAAAAATAAAAAATAAAATGTCTTAAGTGTGATCAGAAAGAAAAGCTCAAATCTGTCCTTGGGGAAAAATCTGATTTGAGTGATCAGAGACTGCTTTATAGAGGGGTCCACTGACCTGCTTCTTAGAGACTAAATAAGTAATGATTGGTCAGCACAATTTTCTGGAAGAAGACAAAACATGAGCAAAGACAGAGACAAAAAGTCTGTGAGACACTGCCAAGAGTGTTCAAAGGAACGCTAGGATACTAAAGTATCACCAAAGTCAGGGAAGGAGAGACAATTCAGAAAAGGATGGTCAGCGATGTCAAATTCTGCAGAGAAACAGAAAGCTGAGAAATAAAACCAAAAATTTTTTATGAACATTAGAAACAGCCTTCCACCATGTCATTTCAGGCAGGGCAAGTAGGACAAAAGCCACTGGCTCTGGAGACTGAAGAGAACTTATGGTAAGAAAAATTGAGACAGATGTTTGGGGAAAGAAAGAGGATTTGGGCACCTGCGGAAGGGGACCTCCAGGGCACTGAAGGATTTTCGGAGGTAGGATGGATAAATTATAAAAAAGGAGTAAGATTTAAGACTTGACAGAGAAAGCTTAGAATAAATCAATGTCGCTGAAGATGAAAGAAAACCCACTTCAACATTCTGCCAAAATTCTCCAGCATGAATTTATAACAGGCCAGATATCCTAATTATGCAATCTCCGATTTAAAAAGGAATTTAGAAGTCATCTAATACTCCTTTCAGTTCCGTCCAGCAAGGAATTTTTCGCTAGTAAATTACATGCCTTACTTAGGGAAGTGGGCAAGGACAGCAAAGACCCCTCTAATGAAGCAGGGGTAGGTAAGTAGCAGTCAGTAGAGCATAATGGATAAGAAAGTGGCTCAGGGTCGGTTTGTCCAGGTGTCCTTTTTGTTGTGGTGGTAGTTTTTCGTCCGTTTGTTTTTTGGTAAGTAGCCTCCACGCTCAGATCCCTGAGATCGAGAGTCAGCCCCGGGTGTTACCAAATACTAGACGTGTTAGGTGGGCCTAGCTGTAAAATAGTACCTATCTCTTAGGCTTGTTGTAATCATTAAATAATCTGTAGTTTATCTGTATTGACTTACTTGTAACTACGAGACTATATACAGGTTTTCCATTTAAGAGTAAAGGAGGCGCTAAAGGGTGGACGCAGAAACCTATCTCCTGGGGGGGGGGGGGTCTCTCGAAGTTTGACCCCGCCCACACCTGGCTGGGCCGCTGGCGACGTCGCGCCTGCGTGCGGGTAGCCTTGAGCCCAGGGTATTCCTATGCCGCAGCCAGGAGGCGCCGCTAAATCATAACAGCTCGCCCGGGCTCCCAGAGGCCCTGACGGATGTAGGGGTGGAGCAGGCTCCGTGCGCAGGCGCGCTGAGGCCGCCTTCGGTCAAAATGGCGCCCGTGGAGCACGTTGTGGCCGACGCCGGGGCCTTCCTTCGCGACGCGGCTCTGCAGGTACGGGGAGGTACAGCAGGGACGAAGGGGTTTTGGGCTGGCGGCCCCTAAAGTAGTGCGGGAACCCGGGCGACGCGTTGCGTGGTGTGGACGCGTGCGAGCTGGGCCTGTCTCTCCGCAGGACATCGGGAAGAACATCTACACTATTCGGGATGTGGTGAACGAGATTCGGGACAAGGCCACACGCAGGCGGCTCGCCGTCTTGCCCTACGAGCTGCGTTTCAAGGAGCCCTTCCCGGAATACGTGCGGCTGGGTGAGTGCCTCTGCCCCGCTGTTGATAGCGAAGCTGGGTCCCACTCTACAGTCTTGGACCGACTCAGGTGCCAGTTGAGCTCTGGCTGTTTTATCAGCATTTGATTCAGAAATTGCACTTTTGGGGGGATTTTGGGGGGAGAGCGGTTCTCTGGGTCAAGAGTCAGTCAGGCCTTGCCAGTTTCTAGCTATATACCTCTTGGTGTCATTCAGACTGTCTAGGCCTCAGTTGTTTGCTCTGTAAAATGGGGAAAATAATAGCACCAACCTCAGAGGGTGCTGGGAGCATTCAGTGAGGAATATGTCACTTCGTATCTGACACTTTGTAAACATTCAAATTTGTTTGGAGTAAAAAATCCGAATTTTTTCTAACATTCATTTTTGGGAGAGCGCACGTGGGGGAGGGGCAGAGAGAGGGAGCCACGGAATCTGAAACAGGCTTCAGGCTCTGAACTGTTAGCACAGAGACTGTGCGGGCTGGGGCTCCAACTCACCAACCGTGAGATCATGACCTGAGCCAAAGTCTCAGGCTTAAGGACTGAGCCACCCAGACGCCCCCCACAATAGGAATCCTTATAAGTTACTTAGTCTCTCTGAGGAAGTACTTCATAGGATTTCGCTTAAGAATGAAATGAAAAGCTTTTAGCACAGTGCCTCTTACATAGTAGGTACCCAGTAAACTTTAGCTGCTGTTAATACCTGCTTTTTAGGAAACATGAGCAGTATTGTTATAAAGCAGAGTTGTCACAAAGCAATCCAATAATTTTGTGTCCTCATAGACCACAACAGTTGTTGATTGAATTAATTTTTCATCCCATTTTGGAATCTGAATGCCTGCTCTATTAATCTGGATTGTTATACTTAGAATCAAAGAATTTTTGAGCTGAGAGTGAAGAGATCCTCTCTTCCAACATAATAAAGTTTAGAGAGGGAACTCATCATTTACAAACATTATGCTTTCAGTGACTTTGTATTAACTTTGTTCTCCTGTTCCTTCATCTGCATGAGATAAGGATGTCACAGTAAATCTAACTGGCATGAATTTTAGTGATAGAGAACACATGTCTCAACAATGAGTAGAATAAGACAAGAAAATGGATGAAAGTACTAAGAGGGTTTCCTTGGGATGCTGATTCTGAGTTCTTTTCTTCCTTTCAGTATTGTTATTCAAGGTCATATGGCTTGTTGCTTCTAATGCAAGTTGGGACTCTCTTTACAGTGACTGAGTTTTCAAAGAAAACCGGAGACTATCCCAGCCTTTCTGCCACAGATATCCAAGTGCTGGCACTCACCTATCAGTTAGAAGCAGAATTTGTTGGGGTATCTCACCTAAAACAAGAACCAGAAAAGGTAAATCAGAAGGATTATTGGTTTTATTCCTTTTTTTTTAAATTTTATTCTGGGAACTATGCCATATAACAGAAATAGAGGGAATAGTATGGTGGACCCAGTGTCCCCATCAGTTGTCTCTGCACTTAACCAAGTCATGATCTATCAGATTTCATTTCTACTGACCCCCAGGCCTGAGTATTTTGAACTCAGACATTGTATTTATCAATAGACATTTCACGGTGTGTCTTTAAAGATAAATATAAAGTGTGTCTATTTAAAAACAAAGAAACAAAAAAACCCTACAAAATCCTTATACCTACACGAAATTAATAGTGTTTACATTTCCCAATTATTTTATAATTTTTTTTCAAAGTTTGTTTGGCTTAGGATCCAAATAAGATTCCTATATTACAGTTAGCAAATCTATCTCAGTCTCTTTTACCTGTAGTTTTTAGTGAGGGATGGTTAAATTTGAAAAATGAAGAAATAGAGTGAAAGTCAACTGTATTCTTGCTGTTGTTTTAAATAGATTTCTTTCCAGAAGCAAGAAAGAAGTAGTGTGCTTGCCTTTTTTTTTTTTTTTTTTTTTTTTTTTTTTTTTTTTTTTTTTTTAAGCTCTTGCCACCTTCAAATTCTAGGTTCCTGTTGTGCTTTTAGGGACTTACTTGCATTGGTTAACGTTGAAGAGACTAATGGATTTGTGCCTGGGCCCTATTTGCTTTTCCCAGACCAGAAGATTTTAGAAGCTAAAGAATACTATAATAATTAATTTCATGTAGTGTTGACTACGAATTGTTTCTTTGTTTTTTAATTTTTAAGTAAACTCTCTTCCCAACGTGGGGCTTGAACTCACGACCCTGATATCAAGAGTCACATGCTCCACCAACTGAGCCAGCAGTCACCCCTAAGAATTTCTTGGTATTCTGTGCCTAAAATCATCAGAGCTGCTTTGAACTCCTATTACTGTACTAGTTAGAACTGCCGTCACTTGTTTTCAACCAGGTTTAGAGTCCTCTAATCCAAAGTCTAAAAATGATGTGTAAAACAGATTTGTGTGTGTCACCAGGATGTTTGGGGAAGATGGGGGTGAAGGGAATAGTTTTACATAAAGCTTGACTTTGTAACTGAGCACAGTGTGATGTGTTAGCTGGGTTTCCATGTGGCATCCATCAATTCATGATTCATAAAAATTGTTCTTTTTCTGCAACCTTCAGCAGGAATTAGATTTTTTTTTTTTTTTTTTTTTTTTTTTTTTTTTTTTTTTTTTTTTTAAGTAAGCTCTGTGCCCAATGTGGGGCTTGAACTCACAGCCCTGAGATCAAATCTCATGCTCTGCTGACTGAGCCAGCCAGGTGCCCCAGGAGTTAGATATTTTGTATCAGAAGCTCTAAAACCGTGTATCTTTAAAAAAGTAAAACAGTATATTTTGACCCAGCAATTCTACTCTTAGGCATTTCTCATAAGTATATAACTAAAGATTCATGCAAGTTTTTTTTAAATAATGGTGTTCATTACAGCTCTTTTTATAAGGATAAAAAAGAAATGTTCTAAAGTGATTATTTGGTACTAGTGGGATCGCTGAATAATTATTTTGTTTTCCAATTTTTCAATAATTATGGGGAAAAATATTTTGTTCTGTTTATTTTACCTTCTCTTCCATGTTGAATTTTCAAACTGTATTTCTCTGCTTAGAGCTGTCACTTACTTTCTTTTCTTTTTAAAGGTTAAAGTGAGCTCATCGAGTCAGCACCCAGAAACTCCTCTACACATTTCTGGTTTCCATCTGCCCTCAAAGGTGATTCCTTAGACAGGCCACCTTCTCGTGCCCTCCTCTACATGTCCTATCTCCACAAATCGTTTACAGTGAGCCAGACTTCCCTAGACTAACATCCTGGTTTGTCGGGTCCTGCCTAATCTGACTTGAGTCATCTGTCATTTCATCTGTAAACTTCTCAGTTTTCAGGTTTTAACATTATTACTCTTTAACCTCAGCCTAAACCCCCACGAGAAGCACTCCAACATGGACACACAGCCGGTGAGCCTGAGAACCTGGAATTCACTTCCTTCATGTTCTGGAGAAACCCTTTGCCTAATATTGATCGTGAACTGCAGGAGCTCCTGGTAAGACCCCGATTTATGATCTCTGATGACAACCTGCCAACTCCTCCCTGCTGCTCCCGTGAACTGGGAATTTGTGAATTCTTTTGTTTCAGATTGACAAAGGTGATGATGTTCCAAGTGAGGAGGACGAGGAGGAAGCGAATGGATTTGAAGAAAGGAAAGACGAGGACAGTGATGACGATGGGGGTGGATGGATAACTCCCAGCAACATCAAGCAGATCCAGCGGGAGTTGGAGCAGTGTGCTGTCCCCAAGGACGTGCGGGTCGGCTGTGTCACTACAGACTTTGCCATGCAGGTGGGTGGATGGGCGTTGGCTGGCCCTAGGCTTTACTGCATAACCTGATTTGGGCAGGGGTCTCTGGAGGTTCGGGGACATGTACACATCTAGTCTGTAATGCTTCTTTTCCTGGTTCTAGAAACGTTACCTGTGCTCTTTAATTATTTAGTTTTGTTTGGAGGCTAGAGAATCAATATAACAACAAAGTTTTTTTAGTGTTTACTATTCATGATATGTTGATGGCTCTCTTCCAGTATGTTAAATATTACACATTCAGTTAGATACTTGGAAAAAGAGATTTCCAGCTATGAAAAGAGGGTATATTTGCCTTTGACAAGATAAATGCCTCTGTTAAGAGCGATTGCTAATGAGGGGCCATTGACGTACAAGAGAAATCTAAATCTTTGTCCTGGTTTATATGTCTTGAGAGGCATTCTAAGCTTGCTTTTCCTTAGCAAAAGCCCTTTGTGAACCAAACCAGACTGTAACTGTAATTATACACAAGTTAAAAGAAAATTTGGCTTTGCAGAGTTGAGTGCTGCTCTAACTTGTTGGTTGCAGAACGTCCTGCTTCAGATGGGGCTGCACGTGCTGGCGGTGAACGGCATGCTGGTCCGCGAGGCCCGGAGCTACATCTTACGCTGCCATGGCTGTTTCAAGTACGTGCTGAGAACCTGGATCCACTGCCTGAACTCTTTTCTTCCTGCCCTTTTTTTTTTTTTTCCTAACATTTGAGACAGAGAACATGCACACAGGTGTGTACCTATGTGAGTGGGGGCAGGGCAGAGAGAGAGACTTCCAGGCAGGCTCCAGGCTCAGTGCTGACTTTGCCCTCCGTCGCACAGCCGCAAGATCATGACCTGAGCTGAAATGAAGGGTCGGATGCTTAACCTACTAAGCCATCCAAGCACCCCTCTTCCTGTCCTTTCTACTGATTTTCTGAAGAACACCCTTGTGTATAGGTTTTTCCTCTACCTTGTCATTCCTATGTGGGCTTGGTTCAGTCTCCATCAGAGCACCCATGGGACAGAGGGCACCTGTGACCTCCCATTTTAATATTTTAGTCGTAGGATTAAGGGTGTGGATTCTGGAGCAAAGAGCTCTCCTCCTTTTATAATAAGTACTAAAATGTTTATGGATGGAAGGATGTTCGGGATTTGCCTTAAAATAATACACAAGTGGAAGAGTGGCTCGGGGTAGAATGGGACAGGATGGCCATGAACTGATAGTTGTTGAAGCTGGGTGAGGGGTACATGGGGGGGGGAGGGTCATTGTACTTTTTGGTCTACTTTAGATAGTCTATTCCCTTTTTAAAAACAATAAGATTATACAGGTTCAGATCCAGGTTTTATCTCGCACTAGCTTTGTAAAAGTTGATGCGTCAGATTCTTACATGACCTTGAAAAAGCTGACTGTCATGTAAGAGTGTGGTATCTAGAACGTATGAGGAAGTCCACTCAGTCACTCGGGTGAGCTGTTAGTTCACTGGCCACGCTCTTCTCTCCATTTCTTTTCTGGCTCTTGATTTGGCTCTTGGGGGTGGTGGGGTGGCCAGTGTTCTCTCTCAGGATCCCAGAGCCCTGGTTGGAGTGGAGGAGACTGTACTGCAGCCTGGCTGGAGAAGTGTGGCCCTGGGATCTTACACTGTGGTTTCTTACAGCCCTTTCATAGATTCACTTAGATTTGGTGGCCATCATCTGCTGGAGCCCTTCAGTGCTGAGGCCTGCATGGAAGGTTTCTGAAGCAGCCGGGTGTCTCATTGGGTCCCTCGTGCTGTTCCGCTGAAAGTAAAGTTACCTGGAGAGACCCTTGCTCGCCTGCAGGCTTCAAAACTCATGCCTTAGGGGCCCTGCCCTGCCACCACTGTGTGTAGGCTTGCCTATGGCGTGGTGAGCTACTCCTCAAAGCTGCTTGTGTATTCTTCTGAATCTTTAGTTTGAAGACGTACCAGGCTCAGGACAGGGTAAAGCTCGTTGCTTCATGAAACCTTATTTCCCCCATTGCCCTTTGTTACAAAACCCCATGTTCCTCCAGGTGAATTCTTAGCAGCTTTTAGAAACGTTCTCCATTCTTGTGAGGTTAGCCCCAGTGACTGGATAGTTTCTTACTCAGAATAATTAGTTCCCAGCACCTGTTGAGAGGTACTTGGTTTACTCTCGGAGACTTGCAGGTAAGGGATTCAGCGTCTCAGGAGAGTCACACAGTTTGGCTCCTGACCTTGGGGAACTGAGGGGGAACTCCTCAAGGACAGGTACGAGCACTGCCATCTGGTCCTTGACAGCATCAACTTCTCTTGCCAAGGTCCCCTGTTGGGGCGTGAGTGGATAGGGGAGAGGCAGGGCCTCAGGGTCTGCCATCCAAACCTAACCAACTGTAGCAGCTTTCCAGGTTTCCTGTGGAATTCATTAATACGTCCTTGGCACCTCTGGAGCCACTTCCTGGCTTAAAACCCAGGCTAACACTTCGGGGCAAGGTACAAAGAGCTGCGGCAACTCACCCCTTTACAAAGTACGCTGATGTGGGGGTGCCTGGGTGCTTCAGTCTGCTGAGCATCTGACTTCATCTCAGGTCATGGTCTCATGGTTCGTGGGTTCAAGCCCCACGTCCGGCTTTGCACTGTTAGTGCGGAGCCTGCTTTGGATTCTCTGTTTCCTTCTCTGCCCCTATTGCATGCATTCTCTCTCTCAAAAATAAACATTAAAAAATAGGAGCCTGGGTGGCTCAGTCCCAAGGATCCAGCTCTTGGTTTGGGATCAGGTCCTGATCTCACAGGTTCATGTGTTCAAGCCCCACATCAGGCTCCATGCTCACCGTGCAGGGCCTGCTTGGGATTCCCTTTCTCTGCCCCCTCCCCCAACTCACATGCTCGCTCGCTCTCTCTCTACATAAACTTAAACAAACCTAAGTGTGGTGATATTAAGAGCACTGATTGTGAAGCCAGGTTCCCTGGGCTTACTATCTGCCACTTACTAGCTCTGACCTTGAGCAAGCTTCTTACCTTGCTTCAGTTTCCCCATCTATAAAATGGAGAGAATGTCAACTTCATAGGATTGTTGTGAAGTTCAACTTGTAGAATAACGCCTGGCAGTTGAGTAAGACTTCAGTATTAATGTAAAAACATAAAAACATTCTGCTCCCTTTCCGTGTTTACTCACTTGCTGCGTGTGTCCTTTCATTCCCTTTTCCTCGGGTCGTGCCGCAGCAGTCTACTGGCGGCAGCAGCAGGAGGCCAAGCGGCCGTGGGCTGTGGTGTGTAGGGTGCTGCTCAGCTTTGCCCCATGTTTTTTTGTTTCCTCCTCCTCTGACCCCCGTGACTCACCTTGTGCTCTGGGGAAGGGGTTTGCTGCTTGTGGCTTCAGCATGCAGCCTTTCCTTTTATGTCTTCAGGACGACGTCTGACATGAGCCGAGTGTTCTGTTCACATTGTGGAAACAAGACCCTGAAGAAGGTGTCTGTGACCGTCAGCGACGATGGAACCCTGCATATGCACTTTTCCCGCAACCCCAAGGTGCTGAATCCTCGGGGCCTCCGGGTGAGTGGCCTCTCTCCTGCTCCCCCAGCAGCAGGGCCTGCGGTTGGAAAACCAAGACCTCTTAAGCACGAGGATCCAAATGAACAGAGAGGACCAAGAAAACCTTAGCATTTCAGTGTCCCAATTATTCTCTGACCACTTTGTTACTTTTTGGCATAAGATGTTCTGGCCCTTGTCTCACGCTGTCCCTGCTCCGGAGTCAGCCATTTCTCTACGGAACTCTGATTCTTGTTGAAGGATGGTTTTTAGAGACAAAGAGCTGACCGAGCACAGGGCGGGCTCATTGCGCTACGGGATCATAGATTTCTCAGCCCACACTGGACAGAGGTTGTAGGTCTGCATATGTGTATATAAAGGTACACATGAGTATTTACTATTACCTGTCTGTATTATAAAATAAGTTTATAAACTTCAGTTTCAACCCCACAGAGTTCATTCTAGCCCTCCCTCTTATCCTTACACCATTTTGTGTAATAATTTATTTGCTCAATTCTAAAATACGGTTTCAGAATTACTAACCCACACCACTAGGAAAATGGTAGCTGCTAACTAGAGTTCTGTGTTTATAGGCAGTTCTTCCTGTCACTAGCGGAGGGTATGTAGTCCAAATACTGCATTGGGTTTTTCCCCCTGGGAGTTGAGGTCGGGGTGAGGTGGGAAGATGCAGGTCATGTGCTTATTAGCACATAGTAGCAGTGAACGGTACACTCCAGAGCTGTCAGTAAACTTGACCTTAACAGGATCAGACGTGTTTGCATATGGTTCCCTGTCCTTCTAATGGCCTTTCCTCTTCTTGTTCACAGTATTCACTTCCCACGCCCAAAGGGGGCAAATACGCCGTCAACCCCCATCTGACCGAGGACCAGCGCTTCCCTCAGCTGAGACTCTCCCGAAAGGCCAGGCAGAAAACCAACGTGTTTGCCCCTGACTACATAGCTGGGGTATCTCCCTTTGCAGAAAATGACATCTCCAGCCGGTCAGCGACCCTGCAGATCCGAGACAGCACCTTGGGAGCCGGGAGGAGACGGTTAAATCCCAATGCTTCCAGAAAGAAGTTTGTGAAGAAGAGGTGAAGTGCAAGTTCCTGGGGCAAACAGGATCGCCGCTGCAGCTGCTGAGGCGCTCGGGTGCCTCATTTCCCTGGCTGTCCAGCTCCAGAACCATCTGGATGCAAACAGCGGGACTGACCTCCACAGTGTTGTTTCCTGACCCTCGGGGATGGGTCGGGTCGGGTTTGTGGTGACACTGGGCTGTCCCTTGGCCTGTGAGCATCTGGAGAGCTGGGATTCCTGCTGTGCTGAGGGGAGTTTGATGAAAACACAAGCAACGGTGCCATGGAGCACATCTTCAACTTCCAAAGAAAGGAACTTCCAAGTGAAAGTATTTCTCTAATAAACATGGTTACAAGCTTTGGTGCCTTTGATTAAGTAGGCCAAATGTTTGCTTCTTAGGTAATTTGAAGGCTAACACTTAAGCTGTATACCCAGTATCAAACATTTAGATTTATTTTTTTGCAAGAAAATGTACTAAATTTGCTACAATAAAACTAAGAGCTTTCTCTTACTCGGAAGCACTGTAGTCATTCAAGAAAATTCAGTACAGTGAGCTGCTAGAAGCTACCACCCACATTCACTTACTTTGCCTTGTTTACTTTTGCTCTTCAAGTACACCGAGTATCTCCCAGGGAAAGGATGTTCTTTTGCATAAATTCAAGAACTTTACCACTGATACATTACTATTACTGATGTGAAACATAACTCACATTTTTCCAGTTGTTCCACTGTCCATATCATTTCTCCCCAGTTGTTGACATTTTTAATAATACAAACTAGGTTTTAAAATGTCCCTCCATTTGAGTTGGACAGATTGTCTCCTCCTAAATTTGTCTGAGGGGATGCACTTTGGGCAAGAATGTTCCACGAGCAATAGGTACCCAGGGCATCATGCTAAGTCACGTTCACTTTGATTACTTGGTACTGAATATAAGATGTTTTCCAAGTTCTTTATATTGACAGTGTATGTGCAAAGTACTATCTTTAAAAGCTCCTTACTTAGGTTTTTTCTTGTATGGTTAACTTACCCATTTGGCATGTAGTTAAATTGAATTCAAACCAAAAACATTAAAGTTTTTCCCACCCTAATTTTTTTAAATAAGTAAACACAGTTCTAAAATAAAAAGGGGCGCCTGGGTGGCTCAGTCAGTTAAGTGTCCAACTTCGGCTCAGGTCATGATCTCACAGTTCGTGGGTTCACGCCCTGTGTCAGGCTCTGTGCTGACAGCTCAGAAGCTGGAGCCTGATTTGGATTCTGTGTCTCCCTCTGTGTCTCCCTTGTTCGCGCTCTCTCAAAAATAAACATTCAAAAAAAAATTTTTTTTGTAAAAGTATACTTCCAGCTAGATGCCATTTTCTCCCCTTGTTTCATCTTACTCCACATAGAGCATCAGTTTCATGTGTTCCTAATTTACCCTTGTTTTATTCTGCAAAATAGCAAAATAAGAGCATGTGTTTTACATTTTTTTTAAAAGATTTTAAGTGATCTCTACACCCAACTCAAACTCACAACTCCAAGAATCGCATACTCTACCAAGACATCCAGGTGCCCCAACGTTTTCTTACACTACAAGTAGTAGGGGCGCCTGGCTACCTGGGTCAGTGAGGCGTGGGACTCGATCTCAAGGTTGTAGGTTTGAGCCTAACCTTGGATGTAGCGATGACTTACAAATAAAATATTAAAAACATTTAAAAGGTAGGGGCGCCTAGGGCTCCTGGGTGGCTCAGTTGGTTAAGCATGTGAGTTCAGCTCAGGTCATGATCTCATGGTTCATGGGTTCAAGCCCCACATCGCGTTCTGTGCTGACAGCTCAGAGCCTGGAGCCTGCTTCAGATTCTGTATCTCCTCGCTCTTCCCCTCCCCTGCTCACGCTCTATCTCTCTCTGCCTGCCAAAAATAAATAAATGTAAAAAATTAAAAAATTTTTTTAAGTAAAAGGTAGGGGTGCCTGGGTGGCTCAGTCACTTAAGCATCTGACTTCGGCTCGGGTCATGATCTCCTGGTTCGTGAGATGTAGCCCTGTGTCAGGCTCTGTGCTGACAGTGTGGAGCCTGCTTGGAATTCTCTCTCTCTCCCTTCTCTCCCTCTCTACACCCCCCCCACTCTCTCTCAAAATAAATAAATACACATTTTTTAAAAAGTTAAATTAGTATACTACTTAAAATTCTTTTTAAGCAGTATAGTAGTATATATATCTTTCCTCACTGGAAATCACTCCATATCAGTTCAAAGAGATCTTCCTTATTTTCATCAGTGGCGAAAAGCTACCAATCCGAGGATTTATTTCATGTTACAGGCTGTGTTAAGTACATCATCTATGTTAGTCCATTTAATCGGCAGGACACTTAACAAGGTATGGGTGCTATTATCTCCAGCGGTCCCCATCTACGAGAGGTTATGTGACTTAAAGTCACGTAGCTTCTGAGTGTCCAGGTCAAGGTTTCAGCTTAGTCCATCTAACATTCTGCAACAAATAGACCAGTGGAGACCATAGGAAACAGGGCGAATACTGGCTCCCTTGCCCTCCATCTGTGTGAAACTGGGTGCAAGCTGATGGGCTGGCTGACACAACAGGAGTCTGGGGGTGCGGGAGGAGAGGTGAGTAGGGGCAAGGGCCTGTAAGATTCCTTTTCTCTTTCTCCTCCTCACACTGTCAAAGTTCCAGAAAAGTAGGGGATGACAGAACACCCATGTACCCAATATAGACGGCACTTTTAGTCAACCAACTTGGACGATGGAAACCTGAGTAAGGTAAAAGGGCCCACAGTACCGGCCTGGCTGAATACAAACAGGCCCATGAGATGACCGAACTCAAAATATCCCTAAGCCCTAGCTGACCAATGAGTTATTTACACAGACCCAAGTACCAAAAAAGGAAAATTCCTTATGTTCCCTTACCTCCCCACCTTCCCCCTTTAACTACAGCCCCCACCGGGGTGCCTGGGTTGCTCAGTTGGTTAAGCGTCTGACTCTTGATTTCAGTTCAGGTCATGATCTTGAGGTTTGTGAGATCTAGCCCTGAGCTGGGCTCTGCACTGACAGCATGGAGCCTGCTTGGGATTCTATCTCTCCCTCTCTCTCTGCCCCACGTGTTTACTCGCACACACTCTTTTTTCTATCTCTCTCTCTCAAAATAAATAAATAAGCTTTAACTAAGTCCCTAACCATGGCTTCTTAGCAGATGGTCTCTCATTTGCTGTCCAGCCTGCCTCCCCCTTGCGGTGTATTCAGTTAACTACCTCCTTTGTTCTGCCCTGGGTGAATTCTTTCACGGCCTGCACCCAATCCAGTGGCCCCACATTACCCCCACCCCCAACAGCCAGCCTTGTCAAGTCTTAACTTTTCACTCTATTCCTTCCAATTAAGAAAGAAAACATTTCAGGGGCGCCCGGGTGGCTCAGTCGGTGAAGCATCCAGCTCTTGATTTTGGCTCAGGTCATGGTCTCACAGTTTGTGAGTTCGAGCCTGGAGTCAGGCTCAGTGCTGAGAGTGGGGAGGCTGCTTGAGATTCTCCCTCTCTCCCTCTCTATCCCTCCCCAGTGCATGCACACGTGTACATATGTGTGTTTGTGTGTGTGTGCTCTCTCAAAATAAAAAATAAATATTTAAAAAAACAAAAAAAAACATCTCACGTCACAAAAAACTTCTGATTTCTAAGAAAAAAATTTGTTGCAACCATCCAGCAAGATAGAGTATTGTGAGAGGAGCTTCAGAGATCTACCGAGGGCCCTGCTAAGTCAGCTAAGTATCAATCAGCACATGGTGTGAAGAGCTTCCTGAGGCAAGGGAGAGACTTACCAGAAAAGAAGCACAAGAAATAATCTCCGGAGCACCCAAAGACGAGGACTAGCCATCTACTCACCACACAGAGTGGAAAACTTCATGATCTGTGGGCACTCAGGAGCCAGAAACTTCTCTCTAGAACCAAAGACTGCTCTAGTCCCACTCAACAAAGCAAATCTCAAAAGGATGCTTCTCTTAGTTCAGTGGCCAGAGCCAGTCCTGTGGTCCCACCCAACCAGATAGGACCACGAAATGGCATCCCAATCAGTGTCTGGAAGGTAGGATGCTAGAAATACTTGGTAAATGGCATTAGTTACAACCACAATTTAGAGATGCATACAAATGGCTTTGAAATAAATTTTTTAGTAGGAAAAATATGATTAAAGGGGTTGTAAATGCATGCACAGCAAATTGTTAACCCCAGCAGATAGGCCCTTAGGACTACAAGTTTTAAAAACTAAAGAACATCTAAATAACTGCTTTCTTTCACCACTGATAGCTTCTCATTTGCAGATGGGAAGGAGTGGCCTCCTAGTCCCCCACAACTGTAACCCAGAACCAGGATGCAGGGTTCATTTTTACTGATTGGGAATGAGCTCTAAGGCAAAGCAAATCTAGCACGGAACGAATAAGAGCCCCCTAAACAAAAGAAACACAGAAGAGAATTTTTAAAAAGATGCGAGGAACGAAGTGGCCTCTGGAGTCTGCCTCAGGAACACAAGGAAATCAGAAACTCCCCAATGATGGCAACATCATACAAGTAATAGTAGAATAGTCACAGAAGAGACCAATGATCCACATATCCCCAAACTCATTCACCTGAAGGCAGTTCCCCCAGACAACTCATCTGCTTCACTTACATACAGAGAAACCAAACTCACGCTAGAATGGAATAAATATTGTTAAAAAGTAAAGTTTGGGGGCACCTGCATGGCTCATTTGATGGAGCATGTGACTCTTAATCTTGGGTTATGAGTTCGAGCCCCACAACAGGATTAAAAAAAAAAAAAAAAAAAAAAGGCAAACTACAGGAAGTTTTGTTTATACATATGCCGAAACTGAGCTAGCCTTAATACCAAAGGACACAGGCAGATTCAAGTCCTCTGGCCTATGTGAGACACAAAATGACAACAAATGGTAAGAAGGTAAATTTTGCATCATAAGGGATGCTAATCTGCCTGTCCCCACCAAACCAACCAACCAACCAACCAACCAACCAACAAAAAAACACCTAAAAGGAATGACCACATAGAAATAAATGGATTGTTTTATATATCCTTTTGCCTAAAAAGTTCACAATTCTAACACACAATAATTAAATGTGATATTACAATAATCAAATGATAGAAATTTGGCTGAAATGATATTACTCGGCTGAAATGAAATCTTTGGTTTGGAGTTTAAAAGTACAAAGATTGAAACTCCAATCAGATCCTATATTTTATTTGATTTCCAGA